TGTGGGTCCAGTCTTTCAACCTCACTCCAGTCAGTCTTCTTTCGAATCTCAATGAGGTACATCACTTCCCAAACTGCGGCAGGATTCTTCACGTTGATTCGGCGGGAATTCGTCTTCTTCGACAACTTGAACAGACCCTTGGCTTTGGCGTACTCAATGCGGAGATCCCCCTCTTGCCCATCAGACTCGTCATCCAGGTCATCAATTTGCATGTCGTCATTACCACGGGCAACGGCAACGGCTTGTTCTTGTTCTTGTTCTTCATCCACACCACCGTCATTACCACGGGCAACGGCAACGGCAACGGCTTCTTCTTGTTCTTGTTCTTCATCCACACCACCGTCGGCAACATCATTGTCGGTTACACCGTTGCCATGTTCCATCCCTTTACGCATCTGCGCCTCCAGCTGGACAAAATCCTCCTGCCCATCCTCAGAGAGGATGTCACCTGAAATGAAGTCGACAATCTCCTCAGTAGCAACAACCTTATGAGTAGCAACCTTATCAGTAGTACTGGCCATGGTAACTGGTAACTGGCAACCTAAAGAGGAAATAAACAAGGTAGGAACCAGGTGAGTGACGACGAGTAACCGGATAGAGTAACCGGTAACCGGATACAATACCCGGTAACCGGATAAGTAACCGGTAACCGGTACACTGGTACGGTACACTAACCTGGTGTAGTAACCTAGTAGAGCTCGAATTTCGGCATAGGTTTCCCTTATCAGGTTTCTCCTGGAGAATTTATGAGCAAAGAGAGGAATGAAACGGCGACGAGTAACCGGATAGACTAACCGGACACTAACCGGTACACTAACCGGATACACGATCGTATTAGGTTAGTGTGTCGGTTACTAACCTGGTAGAAATTTTTTACCAGGTTAGTGTAAAGGTTACTATATCCGGTTCCGGTTACCGGTTCTTTCGCAAGTAACCGGTAACCTAATATATCAGGTTAGCGAACCCTGGCTCCGAGGAGGAGGGCAGGATGGAACAGCGCGAAGTACAATGATGGCCGGCATTCCAGCATTGGTTGTGAGTGTGGAAGGGAAGGGAAGAAAGGCGCGACTCAAACTCGTGACTTGATGTTTTGTTTTGTCTGGAAGCGAAACAGACTTTCTCACAATTCGAATTTTCCAATTTCGATTCCTCACAATTTCTATTTCAATTTTCCTCACTATTCCAATTTTGCTGATTTCTCACAATTTCAAGTTTGTTATTTCTCACAATTCTAATTATCAGTTTTCGATTTCTCACAATTTCAGCTTTCCCAATTCCTCACAATTTCAATTTCCTGGATTCCTCACAATTTCAATTTCCTGAATTTCTCACAATTCCAATTTGCCGATTTCTCACAATTCCAATTTTTACCGTTTTCTCACAATTCTACTTTTCAAGATTTCTCACAATTCAAATTTTCGATTTCGATTTCTCACAATTCAAATTTTCCAGATTTCTCACAATTGAAATTTTCCAGATTTCTCACAATTCCAATTTCTGATTTTGATTTCCCACAATTCCAATTTCTGATTTTGATTTCTCACAATTCCAATTTTCAATTTTGATTCCTCACAATTTCAACTCTTGCTGATTTCTCACAATTTATATTTTAGATTTCGATTTCGATTTCTCACAATTCAAATTTTCCCGATTTCTCACAATTCTAGTTTTTCCCGATTTCTCACAATTCTAATTTTCAATTCAATTTCTCACAATTCCAATTTTCAATCTCAATTTCAAACAATTTTAGTTTTGTCGATTTCTCACAATTGAAATTTTTAATTTCGATTTCTCAAAATTCCATTTCTCACAGCTGACAATTCCATTTTTATTAACTAAAACTCAACGCTGCTGTCTCTAATCGCTGAACCTGTCACAATGGACATTTCACATGCCAACTCGCCACCAACCTTCCGGTTTGGAAGGAGCGCCAGTGATACAAGCAGCCCTTCCGGATTGCTTTGTTTGTGGCAAGCGCATTATCAAAGTAGAAAGGAGTTCCATCTGCCTGTTATCTCTAGCCTGGTTAGAGTTGATCGTTACTGTTCCCAGTTGAAATCATGAAGTGGCTAACCAAGAAATCACCCAAGGAAGATGCTAATGCCAGTGCCCCCCCCAAGACCATGGAAACATCCAACGGCAACATGGAAGAAGGTTCCGTGCTGACAAAGGAAAGTGACACGGATACCACAAAATCGGATGCTTCACCTTCCCTGATCAAGTCCTTGTTTCATCGCAAGAGGAGCAGCGCTTCAAAAAAAGAACCAGGCCAAGCCAGCAATGATGAAGAAGAAATAGTCAAGAGATCAGAAGATGGCGATCCTGCTACCTCTCCTGATGAGAACCAGAACAACAGTGAAATAGTTTTTGAAGAACCCAAAAATCCCTATAGATGGACCCAATTCTGGGGTAGCAACCACAATCAGCAGAAATCCACCACAGACATGGAAGAATCGCAGGAAGAGGAGACTATTGAAGTGCAAGTGGCTGCCGGTGAGACCTCTGTGCAAATCTTTGATAGTACCCAGTCATTCCACAAAATTCCCAGTTTCGGCACTGCCAATAGACCGTCTCTTTACGAAGAAGCCATGGATATGTTAACGGGAGCTATTCTGATCTACATCTTTGCGGATTTGAGAGAAATGGCACGCAACGGTGTCATTGATGCTCCTGACCTCTTGCAGGACCCCACCACAGTGTCTCAGGTTATGGCAGCCATTACCGTACACAAGGAAGCCTTGACGGAACGAGCATTTGACCATGAAGATTTTGGCCAACGCCTCACAAACTTGAGTGACATTCAAAAGAAACTCCAAAAGAAACAACAAGAAAGCTGCGACAATGATACTCTGACCAATATGATTCTACAAATGCTGCAACAAGGACCCACAGAGGAACCGACGAAAGCCATGACGCAAATGCAAGAGTCGACATTGGAATGCTTTCATGATGAGACATCCACCAATGGAGTTGTGTATGGAATCGCCCTCAATCGTTTTCGAAAGCGAGTCACCATCTGTTTCAGAGGTTCGGTGACGAATCAAGATTTTGTGACGGATTCCAAGTCCGCTCAGAAGTTCATGGACAATCCAACACGGCAAATGGCAGGAGATGATGAATCAGTACCCGACAAAATTGGAATCCACTCAGGGTTCTTTCAGTATCTCTTCAGGAAGGATGACCAAGGCAAAGAACGGCTCGAGCACATTCTAAATGAAGCCAAACGGTTGCTCCAAGCGAATCCGGGGTACAGCTTGTATTGCTGCGGGCACAGTCTCGGAGGAGCATTGGCGTCCCTTTGCGGATTTTTTGCCGCGTTGGACCATGAATTGCTTGGCAATGGACCGGTTGTGGTCATTAGTGTGGCTAGTCCCCAGGTGGGAAACAAGGCGTTCTGTGAGGCATTTCACATGTTGGAACGGTACAGGAGGCTTCAGTACCTTCGCGTGTCGAACACGGAGGATGTGATCACTCATCTGCCGTTCCTGACACTCAAGGCAACGGCGTTTTCGCCCCTGCTGGCGGCAGTGTTTGGTCCTGGAAACCTTTACAAGCACTGCGGGCTACAGTTGGAGCTCAAATCGGTGGAGGAAGAAAATAAGGAGAAGACGGAACACTTCAAAATGTGTCATTCCAGAGGGACCACCGATATCGTTGACACGGTGTCGGAGGAGTTCAAACGGTCCATTGCAGCGGCCAGGCTTCTCGTGAACAGCATCAAACCTTTGACCAGCGGTGACATTGACGCAATAACCAAGTTTCATAGTTGTGTTGAATACGAGGCTCGGCTCATGGCGTGCAAAGAGTACCTGTCAGGAGTCACTCTGGATCAACTGTATCAAGACGAAGCAGTTGTTGGCGCCTCACTGGCAAGGGAAATTTGCGAATGATGGAAATGATCCGTTCTATCTTTGCACAAGTAGCAAATCCTTGGCTGATGATGCCATTTTGTTGGAGGAAACAGACCGGTATGTAGGTGTCATACCATGGTATCTGGAGTTGGCTTGAATATCCACCGGTTCGAGCAGCTGTTGCCACAGTACCCGTACCTACGCAAGATGGTGAAGAGGTAGGTACTAGTACTGTCAAAGTTTGTGTACCCAAGCGGGATCTGCCCGCTGTCCACTCCAGCTGCATGTACATGTAGAATCTTGGGGCACCGGAATTGGTACAGCCAGGGCAGAGTCCTTTGCTGCGGCCTGTTTGCAACCATTGGTATGGTGTGTGGTCTGCCGTTGAAGCGGACTACACACATCCCTCCGGGGACTTCGTAATTCATATGCCCTCTGGGTCGTCTCCGTTTCCAGTACTAGTTTAACTCGTTTACTAATACAGGATTATGGTGAATAGAATCGAATGAATCATGTGGCTTATATTTAGGGTTTAGGTTTGGCAATTTTCGCACTGTATCCGAATTCCTCAAGGACGACAAGGGCCATGTGTACTCTATTTGCCTCGTGGTCAACTCCCGCTTCACGTCTTACGTCCGTTGTTTTCACCGAAACAACCTTGGATGCATCGGACTTCGGTCGCATGCAGGCCATCACTGGTGCCCGTCGCAACATTATTACAAGCCACTACGCACGCACACCATCCCCCGCCCCCACCTCTACTCCACCAGTTCGCCTTCAAGCTGCCACACTGGCCCTTCCCATGGTTTTGCACTACCCCCGGCATGAACTTTGAGGCCTTTCTTGGGAACTCTTCTCGAAAAGCACCAGCAGGAGAACGGTGGTAAGTCTCCTACAGTAGCTTCCGTATAAATCCCCCGTGCCTCACTTTCAAATCCTCAATACTGGACCTCCCGATATTATTCGCAAACCATTCCCAGTTCCAATGCAACCAAATACGTCATCTCCCGTTCCACCTGTTCCACGAACCACGTCGCCAAAGTGTCACCTGCGAATAGTCAGAATAATGACACTCCACATGGTATGAAGAAAGCTGCCGAACTTGCTCACATCCTATTACCGAATACCCCAGTACCGAGAAGAGCGGGAAACAGAGGAAGAAGAAGACACCAAGCTCCCAGCGGAACGAGCCAACCCTCCACTTAACACATACTATCACACAAAACTTTTACAACCTCACATATACCACGTTGACTTCAA